AGATTGCGTTTTCATTTTTTATTGCTGTCTAGGAACTTTTTAACTTTCTCCCTTATTTCTTCAGTGACCCACTGGTGATTCAACAATGTATCATTCAATCTCTATATGTTTGAATTTTTTCTGTAATTTCTTTTCTATTGAGTTCTAATGGTATTTCATTGTGGTCTGATAGGATACAGGGAATTATTTCAATTTTCTATGTTTACTAATTCTTGCTTTATGACTTAAAATATTATATATTTGAGAGAAAGTTCCATGGACAGCAGTCCACACTGACTCTTAAGGATTTTATCCTTCGTAACAATAGTGAAAATACAAAACCAGACCTTAGATGTGGCCAACTGAAAGACATTTATTTTTCTTGCACAGAATTTTCTAAATCCTGAGCATGGACCAGTCACTGCTTGCCCAAGAAAAGTTATCACTAGCATGAAGTGGAATAAGGAAAATAAGAGCAATGTTTCTAAATTCATTCAACCTGAAAGACTTCACTTTATTCTGAAGTGTTGTTCTTATTTCTTTGAGTGAGTGTCCTTACTTCTATTAAAGAAAAATGCCAATAGACGATAGTTCTTCTCTTTAAATAGTTTTGCTTAACAAAATTAGTATTTAATTCACATCTATGTTGGTTCTCAAACCCACATTTCATCATTTTTTTCTTCATCCATGAACTCTATATGTCTGAAAAACTATTGCTCAATGATAGCCTCTGCTATCTACAAGCCTACGTTTTCCAAGATTTGTGTGGGGGGGAGGTTAATGTAACATTTTTCAAAGGAATATTTTAAAATCAAATTCATAGCTCTAACTCTTGTTCTAGATATGTTGAATATAACCATTTCTTGATTTCTCTATCATTACCAAGTATCAATAACATTGTGTTAGAACCCAATGAATCTTCTGGAATGCACAAATAATAAGGCTGTTGGCCAGAGCCAGAATAGCCTCAAACTATCACCTCTTCAGCTTGGTCATTTTTTTCTCAAGAAGGAAAAAATGATAGAAAAGAGGAAGAAAGGAATAAGAGAGGAAGGAAGAAAATAAATAAGGAAGGAAGGGAGGCAGTTTTAGGAGGAAAAGGAGGAAGAAACAAAGACAACACTTGCTTGACCCCTTCTGTGTTATCTAGTTGTTTATTAGCATCTTATGAAATGGCCTACACTGAGGCTTTTCTTATTGCTGCCTTTTCTCTGCTCAGGCATGGAGAATGGAAATTCATGGATGTTACAATTCTGTGCAAAGCAAAAGTTTTATAAAGGACTGATTGGGATGGAGAGGGCTAAGTGAATCTAGGAAGGGATTACACAGCAACCTATCTCTGGAAGGCCATATAGCACAGTGGTTATGTGTGTGGCTTTATTCACACAGAGACAGGTCAGAACCTTAGGCAAGTTATGCAGTTGTTTGTAGAATGCAAAGAGTTAAAATATGACATCCAAATTGGGGTGTTGGTATTAAGAACAGTAAAGCAGGTAAAGAGCTTAGTACAATGCCTGGCCCACAATATATACCTCATAAAATAAGTGTTAACTTCAATGATCCCAATGACCTTGTGCACTTGCTTTGCTTACCTGCTGGTCCTTTTCTGTTATGTTCCAGATAGCTAAGTTTACCAAATAGATGATACTGCATTTAATTTCAGCCATTCATTTGTTTATTCATTCATCTGGAAAAACATGAAAAGTATTTCTCAAACTCCTATACTACGTAGTGCACCCTATAATAAATGTTGAGGAAAAGGGTCTAAAAAATATAGAAAAAATCTTCTCTACTCTGGGAACTAGCAATGCATTTGAAGTGATTTGGCCAACAGACCAATCAGCTAGCACAACATGACAGCAAAAGGGATCACAGTCAAGTACAAAGAATCTCCCAGGAAGAGGAACAATTTCAGACAGTCCCTGTTCAACCCAGTTGTGAGGCCATGAGCCCAGCAACACAGGACACAAACTCCTCCTGTGCTGTGTCTGGTGGGGCTCTTCCCATAAGAAATATTCACTTTCCCTAAACACTTCTTCACACTCTTGACCCTAGACTAGATTCTGTGCCTGAGAAGAACAAACAACAAAGTTCCTATTTTTAAAGGTAGAAAAGCGATCACATAGTTCACAGCAAAAATGATAATGAAGAACTTGGTTGCCCTAAGTTCTTTACTCCCTTTTTGAGTCACTCCAGTACTTCCCCCTACTGTGCCCAGTTCCCTTTTGTCCCTGCACTGACGCTGCCCCATTTGAGTTTTTCTACCTGCCTTAAAATGGAAAAGTAGAGGAGGAAGGAAAAGAAAAAGACACAAAATCTAAGCAATGTCTGCCTATTGCAGGATGGAACCTCCCTCAGGAAAAATCCCAGGGTTAGCAATGTCCTTTGTGTGGTTGTTCAAACCCAGAGACCTTGTTTATTTTTTTTTCTTTTGAGATTGGGCCTGATGAGGGAGTTGGCCTAGTCTATAAATGTGTCTAAAAGACTAAAGAGTGCATTTCTATGAGCTGTTAATGGAAAT